GTCAAACATTATCCATAAATCCAAATTAAGGAACTTGGATAAGTGATAGAGAATCATTTATTAGAACTGCTTCATTCTTCACATGGATTCCAAATAAAGATAGCTGCTGCATTTTTCCAGGTAAGTCTGTACCGTCCACATTTGGAGAGTATTATTCTACATGATAAACTCATGGAGATTAACATTAACTATTCTGTTTCTAACTATTATCTATTCGGCCATTGTATATTCCAGACTTCTTCAGGTGATTGGAATTTCAAACTGAACCCTTTTTACTTTGTCCACTGAGTCGACTGTTCTAGTTTCACATGCCATACCTCTTCTGGATGTGTCAGTTATCTCCCTTTAACTCAACTCTCCAAGTTTTTGTTCATGACTGCAGTAGCCAAATATTGAACTCACAACTCTTTGGATAAAGTTACTGAATTCTGAACAATTTATGGAATATAAAAATTTTGGATTTATTCCTTATCTGTTTTCTTGTTTACTTTCTCATTTTTTGTCTTTTTGTGGAAAAGTTAAATATTTTTAGCAGGTTAAATTTTCACTCCCTCAACTTCTCATATGGCACATAAACTGGTTTGCAAGTCAAACTCAAAATGTTTGTTTAATTTCTAGAGGATCATTCCCACCCATTCAGGTATACATTTGGTTGTATAGAAAGACAACTGACCTTCACTACACTAAATTGTTGAACATGGACTCTTTCATTCACTTTGAGAGAAACATCAGTTGATAGGACCAGGAGTTGTAAAATGTGTTATATGCATTGCTGCACTAACTAGCATATTCGCTTTTATTATATTATTAATCAATGTGATTAAACTGTTTCTTGACTAATCTTTTGTTCCAGTGCTTTTCTTAGAATATTATTAATCAGAATTACAAGCTAATATGAGCATTATAACACATTTCCTTATAGGATTCAAAGTATTATCTTTCTTAAGATCAGTTTCCACTATTTCTCTTTTTCTTCAATCATTGCTCCTATCTCTTAAAATGAAGGATATTTCTCCCTTTATCCTAACAGTGTTTTTCTTCTTTTTAATCAAATCCAGGAGGCCCAAGCTAAATTATGATTTGCTTTGTTCCTCTATAATCTCAGACACTTTGGTGAAAAAATTTAACCTTATGAAAAGAAAAATCTTTTAATATTTAATACGTTCCCTTTTTCTGGCTAATACATTAAAAAAATATTACATGTCTTCATGCATCATTGATTTAGTCATTAAGAATAACTTCTTTCTGTTTTTATTCTTCCTTTCTTGATTTTTTTTTCACCTTTTCGATTTTTCCAAGTAGTTTCTGAAAATGAGCTTCTTAAAATATGAATTTATAATGCTAATAAAGAAATTAATAAATAAAACACTGGCAATATAAAAAGACAGTATCAATAAATACAGAAATATCCTTGTAATATTGTGTTGATGTTTAACTACATCTTCACTGATATGATAATAATAACAACAGTCATAACAAGATGAAGAGAAGCAATGACAGGGAATAATATCATTAATAATAGTGATACTAACACAAATTTCTCTTTAAAAAAAAAAAAAGTTAAAATCCACAGAAATGCTGAAGGCACTCATTAAAAAAAAAAAAAGTGTCTGAGCAAAAATTCTTCATCTCATAAACATGGATAATTTTAAGTATTATTGAAACGTCTTCTATGAACTGTGTCCCTTCAAGAACGTACATGCTTATGACTTTCCACAATCTCCTATATTGTGAAAATTGAAGAGGTTAAGACTGTAGTGATTAGAAAAATACCGATTTCCAAGAGAATGTTTTCCCAGACACTACAATGTTAAGCTCTTCAAATTTAGGATTAACTGTTATCTTTCCACTATATCCTCAAAAACTGAGCCTCTTACTGCACAACCACCTCCTTTAGTAACTCTTTACATTAAGACTCTAGTTCCTTGTTATTAGGTGAACATTAGTAAAAAGCAAAAAAAAAAAAAAACCCTTAGTAATATTTTTCTTTTTTTATCATCATCCTGGTTATGATAAACTATATCCAGCAGCAATGCTTCTGATTGGGAGATTTTGAGGAACCTTCTCTTAATTACCATTGCTTCCAGGGTCCACCCTGATCCAGGGTGGTAGCATCTGTTATTTACCCAGCTATGAGCAAATAGTTACCCCCACTAAACTGAGGTTAAAACATTATGAAAATACAAAAATACATTTTTGTAGCAAGAATACCAGCGATACATTTCAATTGTAAAAAAATTACCAGCAACATATTATTGGAAAAGGAAGAGAAAAATTACCAACAATACATTTTTAAAAAATTACCAAATTTCACAAGAAAATTAAATTCTAGCATTAAATGACCCATAAGGAGTAGATATGCTGTTAAAAAAACCCAAATCTTTTTACCATCCCTCTCACTCCCTATTCTGCTATCCATTCATATAAGCTCATCCAGTTGGTGGTCCACTGCTTCCTCTGTACCTTTTGCCTTCTATATGTCCTGTGAATGTCAAATTTTCCAAGCCCTCCTTCTTTATTCTATGTCCCATAAATTTCAGCTGTCTCTTTCTGAATGAATATCTTCTTCTGTGTGCTATTTTCTTTCAGGCTGTGAGCAATCATGACTCTCCACAACTTCCTTCTTTTTGTAGCTTTTAGTAAGGTTTATCTTATCTCATTTCGTGTCCTAGAAATTTCAATTGCCTTTTTCTTATATTGCAAAGAGTTATAAAGGATTGGAAGTTCCAGAGGGCCATTATTGTCCATGTTCTGAAAGAACATGAGCCACAGATAAAGAAGGAATTATTTTATTTCTGTGCCAATTTTATCTGTTTATTATTAGACTTGTTTTATTTATATATTCCTGTATCTTTGGCACCTCGAGGTGGTGTAATGGTTAGCAAGCTTGTCTTGCTAGAACAATTACGACTGAGTAGTGAGTTCGATCCTCACTGGGTGCCCCATACTTTCGGCCTTGTGCCACATCTAAACTATGCTTGGAAAATTACTATTTGGGCCCCTCGGTGTGGTGTAATGGTTAGCAAGCTTGTCTTGTTAGATCAGTTACAACTGAAAAGTGAGTTTGATCCTCACTAGGTGCCCCATACTTTCGGCCTTGTGCCACATCTAAACTATGCTTGGAAAATTACTATTTGGGCCCCTCGGTGTGGTGTAATGGTTAGCAAGCTTGTCTTGTTAGATCAGTTACGACTGAAAAGTGAGTTTGATCCTCACTAAGTGCCCGATACTTTCGGCCTTGTGCCACATCTAAGCTACGCTTAGAAAATAACTATATTCCTGTATCTTTTATCTGTCACAATTTCTCTGTTATCATTATTTACAGTTGGGCAAATGTCCTCATGTTTATTATTTTTAATTACTGATTCTATGTATAGTTGTCCTTTTTGTTTCAATTTTAACTAAAACTAACATTTAGACCCTGAGATTAAGAATTATTGTGAAGTGAATAAAATTAGTGTAAAGAAAAAGCAGGAAGAAGAGCAACAGTGAATAGAGATGAAAATTCTATTTCAGACTTGGAGGTTTTTTATGACTAACATGGTACATACATTACTACCTTATATTTTAAGTTTACATGAATAAGTTGCAAGTATGAATTTTGTTTACATTTTGTTTGGAGCTTTTGTTTTGAATTCATGCAAATTAATTTAAAAGGTCCAAAAATATACCAGTCATAAACATAAACTAACAACAAAACTGAAGTGTCTGGTCTAAAAAAAAAGTTCAGTAAAATTGCTTTATTTTATAAAAACTTGGAGAACGTTTTTGATGTTGAAATGAAAAATAAATCATAAATTTTTATTACTCACTAATTTCTGATTTGTTTTGATTTAAAGGAAATTAGATTAAAATGCCAAAAAATGTCTCAGCCATAAGATATAAAGTTGGAACAATGTATCAGCTGTGTGATAGAACTAACAGCAAAACTGAAGATTTGGGTCTAAAAAATACTTGTTAATTTTTGTTAGGTTAGTGTTTATTACTTGATAGTTACTAAGTTGATCATAGTACCCCACAAGAAGCAGACTTTGAAACTTTCTTAAAATTATAACTTCAAAGAATGTTTTCTTTTGTGTACCATATTTCTTCAGGATGTTGGTTATCATGGCTCTCCAGAGTTTCTTGTTCTTTGTAGCTCTTAATAAATATTGTCTTTTTGTTATCTCCCTAGATCCCATTCTGCTACTCATTTACATATATTTATTAGGTAGGTTATTCTCTGCTTTCAATATGTCTATTTTTTATGCCATCTTTCCTTATTAGGTGCCTTAGAAATTTTAACTATCTCTTTTTGATATTAAGTAAAAATGTCCTTTTTGTTTTTATTGTCTTTAAAACTTTGTTGTTACTCACATGTCCAATCCATGGTATTCTCAGTATCCTTCTGTAGAACCACAGTCCTATTGCTTGAAGTCTTATTCATCTTCAAGGAGACTGTCTAGCATTCACAACCATATAGGAGGATTGATACTATATAATATTAGGTTGCTGCAAAAATAATGACGTAATAATGTCGTTTTTTGACGTTAAAAAATACATCAGTTTTGTACTCTTTTCTTTGTTTTTTAACAAAGTTTTTCTACTTTTTAATACTTTGCTTAGCTTTTGGGAAGCAACTTCTGCTATCCCAATGTACCTTTGGATTTCAGTGTTGCACTTTCAGAATATATTAGCTGCAAAAAGTTAGGACATAAATATTTCAATATTTTCTTTTAAGTTTAATGAAAATCTATGTACTGTATGCTTTCAGGATGTGAGCAATCATGTTTCTCCACAACTTTCTATCCTTTGGAGCTTTGAGAAACATTTATCATTTCATCATCCCTCCCACTCACTGTTCTGCCATCCATTTACACAAGCTTGTACTTATGGTTACCATCTGACCCTCATTATGTGATCCTAGAAATTTCAACTGTCTCTGATTCTAATTATAAGCATCCCTTCTGTTTATATTTTTCTTAACATTTCCTTGTTGCTTACAGGAAAATGGACTTATAGCCATATTGTAATGAATCACTGGTTCTTGTACGATCACTGAAGTTAAGCAACATCCAGCCTGGTCAGTATCTACATGGGTGACCACTTGGGAATGCCAGGTGCTGTAAGCTTGGATGTGTTGGTGGTGTAATCAATAATGGCTTGGAATTATTAACTGGAGAGCTGAGTTCCAATTCCTGTTGGGTTCATTATATTCACCTACACACAAATACCATTAGAAAAAGTATGAATTCACCTATTCTCCCCCAGCTATGGGTTAATTAGTAAGATGTGCACCACTATTATCTCAAAAAAAATTCTTACAATCTAAAAATATTTTCTGTGCTTAAATAACTTGTAATGGGTTGATAAGCTGTAAAAAACAGATCAATCAATCAGATGAAAATGAAAATACATCAGCTTATAAACTACTGGAGACATAGTTAATAAACTTGGTGCAGAGAAAAATTAAGGACAAGGACAATGGCTTGGTAGCTTCCCTGATTAAGATGTTACAGGAATTGCTACATGACTCTACAGGCTCCTGTGGCACTGTATGTGAGATTGAATCTTTTTTGAACACTATTTCTTTGTTTTGAATGAATGTCAGAAAAAAATTATGACATATTGTGATAAAAAGAAACAAGAAATATGAAGATGTGAGTGAAAAGACTGAAATTCATAAGCTTAGATAAGAAAGGCATACAAATATTGGCAACTGGGAGAATAAGGGTAATGAACGAAAAGAAAAGGAGGTTGATGAAATTCATGATAAGAACATAAAGGAGGAAGATAAGATGAAGAGGAACATGGGAAAAGAAAGGTAATGAAACAATATGAATGAGAAAGATAATAAGGAGAGAGAGAGAGATGATGATGAATACATGAAAGAGGGCGAGATGGATAAAATGAAGAGAAAGATGCTGATAATGATATCATGAAAGAGGAGGAGAAGAAGATGAAAGAAAGAATGGATGATGATGATATGAAAGTGGGTGGAAGAGATGATGATAGTGGTAGCATAACAGATGAAGAGGTGAATGAGGATAAATTGAAAAGTAAGAAGGGAAGAATGATCTTGATATGAAAAAAGAGAAGGTGGATTAGATGAAAAGGAGAAGAGAGATGATGATGATGACAGCATAAAGATGAGGAAGAGAAAAAATTATATGAAAGAAGAGGAGGAGGAAGATAAGATGAAAAGAAAGAAGAAAAGGATGATGATATGAAAAAAGAGGATATGAAAAGGAAAAGAGAGATGATGATACTATCATAAAATATGAGGAGGATATGATGAAAAGAAAGGAAAGATGGATGATTGTGATAAGAAAGAGGAGAAAGATAAGAATAAAAAGGAGGAGGGTAAGATAAAAAGGAAGAGGATGATGATGATGGTGGTGGTAGCAGCAAGGAGTAGGATAAGATGAAAAGAAAAACAGGAAAGATGATGATGAAGAAGAAAATATGAAAGAGTGGGAGATAGAAGTAATAAAACAAAAAATAAAAAACAATAAGATCAAGAAGACTTCTATTATATCATGACTAACATTGCTACTTATATAAAAAAAAAAGAACCAAAATAAAATAAACACGAGGAGTTGAAACTAAAATTGATAGTAAATAAAAATAAAAGTTCAATTAAATGAGAAATAGGAAAAATTAACAAAAAAAAAAATAGATGTGGAATTAACAAAGAATAATCATAAAAATTAAATGAATTTACTTAATTTTTTATTTTAATTAATAAAAATATCAATTTTTGATACATAAAATTTTTTTTATTTTTGATACATAAAATTATGTAATTTTTTATTTTAAATGAATTTACAATCAATTTTAATGACTAAAGTAAATGAAAAAAAAAAGACATTAATTTAAAAAAAAAAGAATTAAGAAAATAAATGAAAATCAGAATTTTAAGTGAAAGTGTTTTATTTTGCATCAACACCAAAGTTCTGATGGGAGTTTCACATCATTTACAACAGCTGGATTTTTCAGGTGCACACAGCTTCTTTCCATTGATCAGAATCCAGAGAAAAAAATGTAGAAAAGATATTTCATCATTGTAATTTCAAAACATCAAATAGAAACAAAATTCCTTTATCATCGAAAAGAATATCAATAGGATAAAAATGTTTAATCGTGTATTCTTGTACAGTAGTTTTCTTAACGGGAGAGTCAATGGCTTTATTTGCAGTGAATTGTTGTCTAAAGAAGAATGTTGAAATCAATGAAAGGAAAACACCCTGCAATATTGTAGATTTAATTCACATCTGATAAATTTTTTATTTTAATTTTTGTCTTTTTTTTTGTTTAGTTAAATTCATGTTCAATTTTGTCGTTTTTACATCATATTTCATCAGTATATCATGTTTACTTTGAATCAGAAAGAGACAGTTTAAATTACTAGGATACATAATGAGGAGAGAAGATTTAGAAAACTTGAAACTCAGAGTAAGACAGTAAGTAAAAACAAGTAACCTATCTAACAAGCTGATATAAATGGGTGGCAGATAAAAGTTTGGGAGGGATCCAGAAACCATGAATTTGGGGTCATATTTTTCTTTTTTTCTGAATTCAGAAAATGAAAGCAGAAAAGACACCTCTACTGAAATCAGAAAGAGATGGCTGAAATGTCTTAGCTCTATAATGAAGAAAAGAAAGCTTGGAGAATTTGAGCCTCATGGGACACATCAAAGCAAAACGGATGGGAAAACAATCGGCCTCCTACTTAATGATCTTGTATAAATGATTTGCATAATAGGGGTGAGTAGGAAAGATTTTAAAAAGAGAAATATTGCTAACATCTATAAAGGATAGGAAGTTGTGGAGGGCCATAATCGTCCACGTTCTGAATGACAAGGCACATAGAAGGTGAGGTGAGTTCAAATTCCAGTCGAGTTTGTTAGATCCACTTGTGCACAAATATCACTGGGAAAAGCATGAATCCATCTCTTCTCCCCACCAGTTATGGGTTGAATAGCAGGACAGAATGGGTTCTTTAGCCTTGGTTGCCAACCAGTCTACTGCAGAAAGAAATGATAACCTACTACGGGAAAAAATCTGCCTTGTCAGTCATGTATTGAAAGATACACGATTGACCAAGCATGTATTACATATGGCACTTAACTGACTGGCTTTATATATACCTGTATCTTTCATATGCCTCACTTTCTGTGATGAGGTGTTATCATTATTTACATTATTTACAGTCAGACAAATATCCTCATGTTGTTGTTATGACATTTCAGCTGTTGTGCCTTCCTCAGGCATTTGTCAATTTGGGTAACTTTTGGGGAATTTTGAAATTAACCCTTTATTTAATCTCGAGAGATGGATTGTTCTTGTTCTGTTCTTCATATCTGAGAATATCCCATCTTGATAAATTGACCTGATGTACTGCTCAGTTATTTCTTTTTTTAATAAATTTCACCCAATTCAGAACTTGATAGCCACTAAAGATAGTCAAAATGGTAATGATGAATGAGATCTGGGGTATGTATAAAAAAGAACCTAGTAGAAATGAAGATTATGAAAATCAGGTGGTAAGATGATGACTAAATCTTGACTTTAAGAGGTCAACAATGAAGTACTATTGGTAGTCTGTGCAAGCCAATCAAGGGATTTAAATCACAGTTCCTGTGCCATATGAATTAACATGTTAATCTTCTAGGATACCGAAGAAGACCAGAGAGCACAATGGTTGAAATGTCATGATAACAACAACAAAGCTGAAAATATTATCCTGACAGGAAATAATGTAAATAATTCTCTTATCTATTCATTATAACACATTTTTATTTACTAATTTATTATTTACACCTGTTCTAGTGATATATATATATATATATATATATATATATATATATATATATATTATATATTATATATATATATATATATATATATATATATATATATATATATATATATATATATATATATATATATATATATATATATATATATATATATATATATATATATATATATATATATATATATATATATATATATATATATATATATATATATATATATATATATATATATAAAACAGAGATATCACATTGAGCCCAAGTTAAATTTCAGACTATTAAATCTGTTACTTGCAATAAATTCATTACTTTTCTTTGTTATACAGAGCAGTCAAAGAGGATCAAAATTATTACAATAAAAATAGTTTCACTGATTTTCTTTTTTGTCTAATTCAAAGATTTTTTTCATTTGTTTTCATTTTTCTTCTTTGTTTTCACACCCTCTCTTAAATATTTCATTTTTTCTTTACTTAATCTTCAGTCTTATTGATTTTCTCTTTGTTCTTCATTTATAGTTTCTTTCACTCTGGCTTTTTTTTCATTCTCTTTTTATTCCTTCCTAGTCCATTTCCTTACTCCTTGATTTTTTTAAAAAGTTTCTTTCTTCTTTTTCATTCACTCTTTTCTCCTGTTACATTATTTCACTTTCCTCCTCCTCTTTCTTTATTGATTCTTTTCTTTTGTGAGATTATTTCACTTTCTATCTTCTTTATTCACTCTTTTCTTCTGTGACATCATTTCATTTTTCTTCTTTTTCATTTACTCTTTTCTTCTGTAACATTGTTTCATTTTTCTTCTTTTTCTTTTTCATTCACTCTTTTCTTCTGTGACATTATTTCATTTTTCTTGCTTTTCTTTTTCCTTCACTCTTTTCTTCTGTGACATCGTTTCATTTTTCTTCTTTTTCATTCACGCTTTTCTTCCATGACATCATTTCATTTTTCTTCTTTTTCATTTACTCTTTTCTTCTGTAACATTATTTCATTTTTCTTCTTTTTCTTTTTCATTTAATCTTTTCTTGTGACATTATTTCATTTTTCTTCTTTTTCTTTTTCATTCACTCTTTTTTTTCCTGTGACATTATTTCACTTTACTACTCCTTCTTTTATTTTGTTCTGAGTTTTTTTTTTTTGTGACATTGGCAGTCATGACTCTCCACAATTTCTTGTCCTTTGCAGCTCTTAAACAAATTTTTCCTTTTTGTGGTCTCTCCTAAACCTTATTCTGCCATCATTGTAATAGTCTGTTTTTTAATGTTAAGAGACAGTTAAAATTTCTAGGGCATATATTTCTCTTAAAAATAACTGAAAT